CTCTATCTTCAGAAATTTCCTTGAGAGTGAGTCAGAATTGAGAAATTTGGAAATCAGAATCTGAAATTTGGTAAACAACTAATACAGACCTGAGTAATTTAAAATTTGTAAAAATCTGGATAGTTGTTTTGAAATTTACCAATATAAAATTACTCATTACTTCCCACAGTGCACTCTTGGAGACAAATATGAATATTTTATAGGTCAGATTTTATCTACCTGTATACTCTATCTTCAGAAATTTCCTTGAGAGTGAGTCAGAATTGAGAAATTTGGAAATCAGAATCTGAAATTTGGTAAACAACTAATACAGACCTGAGTAATTTAAAATTTGTAAAAATCTGGATAGTTGTTTTGAAATTTACCAATATAAAATTACTCATTACTTCCCACAGTGCACAAATTGATTCTCTAACTACTACCAATGGCTTTTTAAAATATTTAATTTTTTTAATTATATGTGTATGAGTGTATAGTCTACATGTAGGTAGGAGCACTGGGTTGGTGTAATGTCTGTGGAGGTCAGAAAAAAGTGTGGGATTCCCTGGAACTGGAATTACAGATGGTTATTAGCCATCATGTGTGTGCTGGGAATCTAACCTGAGTTCTCTGCAAGTACGGCTGAGTCATCTCTCTATCCCCACCAAAAGCATATTTTTGATGTGAAATACTGTAGGATGCTAGTATTAAGAAACACATAGCTTTCATGAATTTCAGAAGCATATGTAAAATAAGAAATAAGTCTGATAATCCTTCTAATTTATTGGATAATCAAATGTTCTAGATTTCAATTTCTATGTCTACATTTTATGAATTTATGTTCCTTGTAACAAGACATTTGAGCAGAGCTACATAGAAGAGAACCTGGGTTAATTTGGTAGGCAAGTAATCAGATTCAGGACTTTTAATTTATTGATTTTTATTCATCTACTGGAATTTGAACACAGGCATGATGTATGCTAGACAAATTGCCTTTACATTAACAATTAACCAGACAGAGAATAACAAATTTCAAAGAAATGTTTACACATTGTTTTCTGCAATTTAGATTTTCAAAATTATTCTTAGATTCTCCATCAGGATAAAAGTCATGATGGATTTGCTTGTCATATTTAATTTTTCCTGATTTAAATAAGAAAAAGTTACCTTTTAAAATAAGTCAAAGCTTGATTTTTAAAAACAAATTCAAGTGGTGTTCATGTGTACATGTGTCAAATTGTTTATTGTGTAAACTCATTTTAGTCATGGTCTACAAAAATCTGCTTAATGGAAATATGAACAAATCATTGTATTTTTTGTTAAACCTTAAAGTTAAATCATATTTTAAATAGCAAATCTAATTTTTCCAAGCCATGACCCTATATCTAGACTTAAACATTGATTAAATAAAGTTGTTTAACAAAAACTTCTAGAAGTTTATTGTACCTGATTCAACAAATAAACTTCCTTCACTATTATCAAACCATAGGAGAAAAAATTACACATTCTTTATACATTTATAAAAACTAGGTGAAGATGATGAGGCTCAGAGAAACTATCTTTCTGAGTAGGAAGCCTTATACAAAGTACACGGAGTAAAATAAAGGCCTTAGAATTTGCCTGAGAATTATGGTCTCTTTTTCTCGTTACTCATTTTTCTCCTTACTGTTAAGAAGAGGGCGGGGTCTCTTTGAAAGACATTTTTCAAAGAAATGAAACTATCTGGGACGCCTTCCCTGAAATTTTATTGACCAGGGAAGTCTACCAGCTTGCAAAGGAGACTTAAAGTTCGCTAAAAATGTTTGCTTAACACATCAACTTTTCTTGAGAGGAGTGCTGCCTTAGCATCATTAACCTATTTAATAAGATCACTTTGGTTACAACCAGTTTTCCCTCTCATCTCCCTGCCCCTTGTATCATTTACCGTAGAACTCAGAACTTTGTTTCAGGTTGGTGTCTATTCCTGGGACCCATTCGTATTTCCTTAAATTCATTTGCTAGCACCACACAATTATATATACTTTCTTCGTTTATTTCTACCCTGTAAAGAGGAGATTAAACAAGTTTATATGCCCTTTTGTTTGCTCATCTGCATACTTTAGGTTGTTTTAGTAGACCCAAATATTAAACCTTCAGATGAAAATTTGATCTTGCTTGTAGCAGAAACAGGGAACAAATGCTTAATGTATGTCTCTTTCATACCTGTGGTTGAGGATGAGTCCAGATTTCCACAGTTGTTGACTCTTTCACGGGTGTGCGAGATCGTACCACTTCCACCATTTGCTTTATAAAAGAGGGAAAAATTATATTAAGCTACTTGGTAAAAGTAAAAAAAAAATAAATACACAGTGCATTTCACACAAGCATTGAACATAGGGCCGTAAGATTCTGCCTTGTTAAATTACCTCTTTAGAGGAATAATAGTTTATTCAACAAATGAGATATTAATGGGTACAGTATGCAAGCATGGCTCTAGGTCCTAAACATAGACTGAAAAGAAAAAGCGTTTCTTTTTCAAGAAGCTTATATTCTAATGTACCATTGCCTAAAACTAAAATCTGTCATGTGCATGCTACAATACGGTACATGTTTTATGTGTCATATAAAGGTATTTAATGTTTAATGTATGTAATACATGTCATGTGATTTAGGAACAAATGGAAAAAATGCTAATCTACTAGCACTGGACAGTGAATGAAGTCAGGAAAAGATGTAATCCATTTAATTTTTTCTCAGAACTTGAGTATATTCTCATTTTAACAATATTAAGTGTAGGGGCTGGAGAGATGGCTCAGCTGTTAAGAGCACTGACTGCTCTTGCAGAGGACCCAGGTTTAATTCCCAGCACCCACATAACGGCTACGAACCTTCCTTAATTCCAGCTCCAGGGGAATCTGAAGCCTTCTTCTGACCTCTGCAGCATTGCATGACACAGGTGCATTCACATACATGCAGGCAATACACTCATCCACATAAAATAAATATAATTAAGATATAAATGAAAAATAATAAAAATACTAACTTTAAGTGATAAACAATTTTTCGTACATGTGATTTTAGGCTTTATAGTAAAAGACTGGTTAAAAGTCATTATTTGGTCGATGAAAAATTAAAAAAAAAACACTTTCAAAGAAGCTAAAATAACAGAAATCACTCTGGCAGCTGCTTTCATGCTAAAATAGCATAGTTGAGAAGTTGTATCACAGGCCTTATGTCACACTTTCATGAATTTGTGCTGCTGTACACTGTAATACAAATTGCAATGTTGCTGCTACTTGAGAGGGTTTTGAGTGACACATTTATCCTTTTATTTTGACAGTTTAATTCATTTATATTGTTTGCATTATCAGCATATACACGTCATATGAAAACTAGAGAAGAAAAAGAAATTTGGATCATGACTCTTTTAAATGCAATGAGGAGGAAATATTTTCTTAATAGATTAAAGGCTAAATCAAGTTCATTATGCAGTGATACTGTTACTCTAACATAAAAGACACAATACACATTGGCATTAGTAGAATAAGCACTCATCAAGATTTCAGCTTACAGGAATGCATGAATCTTAATAATCAGAAGTTCAAATGAGGCAGCTCATCCCAGCAGAACTTCTCCACACATTAAAAATAAGTGAATAAAATGAGACCATGAACAAAGGAAGCTTTTCGAAGGTCCAATTTTCAATAATTCAAAAAAAACACACTTACTAATGATGAGTGAATTATCTCATGTCTGCTTACAGAAGCTAAAGAAATGTGTCCAGAAAAAAATAAATTTGAGGTTAGCTTTTTAACAAGTACAATTATTGAAAAAGTTAAGTATATTGATAGTGAGTACGAAAGATGATTTTGAAAGTAAAGACAAATGCTTTAGAACATGTTTCCTTGTCTCTTCTTGAACTAACAGATGTTACCAACATTTGCTCTTTATATGAGGAAGCAAAACTAAATTTGAAATGACTAAGATTTGCCTCTATGAATAGTTACAATGGACCAAAGGAGGCAAGAATAGTTTCAAGGATGTTGAAAACTATTGATTAACTGTTATGACTGATGATTGTTAAAATAAATCTGGGATAGAAAGAATTTTATTTAAACAAAACAAGGTAATTTGAAACTAAGCTATTTAAGGTCTGGTTATTTAGGATATCAGTAGACAGTGAAAATATTATTTTAAAGAACATTTTCAAAAATATTTTTTTTCAACTAAATAAGTGAATAATGTAAAGTTAAAATAGATGTGAGAATTACATTTACCTCC